GGTGTCTCTGAATTGGAAGGTTGAGTTTTAACAGTAGTGTTTCCACAGTCTTTTATGGAGGCCACTGGAGAACGAATTAGCACAAGTGTCATGTTCCAGGGAACACATGCTAGGCTGTGATTACTGAGCTCAAGCTGAACTGTAAAATCACTTGTCAGCAGTTGATTTGTTTCTGGAAAAGCCCAGCCTCCTGATTGAATTAGTTTGGTGGTTTTCAGTGGAGAGCAAAAATGTGTCCATTTGTGTTATTCTCTGACAGACAGTGCTGATATTGTGACGGTTTGATCATGCTGTTAAACCAAAGAGTTCATTATTGAAGCTTATATGACAAACTGTATTAACAGAAATGAATGCATATATATATATATATATGCGGCTGTGTTTGTCAACATGTGGTTGTCTGAGTAAAAAAAAATCATCTTGCACTTTTCCAGTCCCTGTTTTTATTGTTTCAAAGCAGTGTTTGATGTTCAGATAAAACCGCACGGAGCAGCATTTGTATGCATCAAGTGATGGAACGAGCTATAAGAGGCTCTTCAGGCGTGGACTGTGCTTTGCTTTGTTGTCCAGTTCATGTTTACTGATAGGATCTGTGTGGTTACTCCATCATATTGGGGGTGAGACGAGGTCATGTTGGTGCAATATTGTGTTCGCCCTGAGGTTGAAATAATTTTGTTTGCTGTAATAGCTGTAAAACACCTTATTTCCCACTAGACATAGTTTCATACAAATATTTTGGTGCTGGTATTGAAAAGGAAGGAGCAAATCTCAAGCACCAAAAACTGCACTTGTTTTATTCAGAAAGGAAAAAAACAAAACAAAACTAATAAAACTTGTGGTTTTAGACTATATCTCTTCTTTCTGATAAGTAACAAGTGAAGCTTTTGCAGCGTTTGCATGTGACATTTTTATTTATTTTTTTGAAGAAAAAGAAAAGCTGTTGTGTCATTTAAAAGAAAAGCCTTGAAATGTTTTATTGTGCCAGTCACTACATGGCTACTTGGTTTTTCTGTCTGCCTGCGATCATGCAGACAGTGGAGTCTTTTCACATCAGGATCAGCATCCATGTAAGCTCTTAATTCTCTCCTCTTAACTAGTTATTGAAGAAATGTGCTGCTGGTGCAGAAAGAGAAAGAAAAACACTGACCGCCCAGAATTCGCTCTGCCATGTAGCCATGTCTGACTCTTACTTTGACTCGAACAACCCTTTTAGCTGTGACTTTATTGTTGATAAAAGTCTCCAAGTTAACAGCACCCTTTCAGTGGCATCACTCTTTTTGCCAGAACAAACAAATCAGTAAAAGTGTGGCATTTTGTTTTGTTTTAAGAGTATCTTGCAAAAATTACAGGATTGCATTCCTCGGATTTTCTCAACTTTTCAGCCACGGAGCCTCTGCAAGTTGGCAAACATGCTCTTGTTTGGCCCTTTCACATGGCAGCCGCAGCCCTCATCTAGCTCGTCACATCATTTTAATTACAGAGCCTTCATTGTCTGCACTGACCCATTTTAGCGCTTTCCTTCACCATCAGCTGCACCGACCCTCCGATCACACTTAATTTCTTCTGGCATTTGACTCAATCGGCAGTGCAGCAAACACGAGCTCAGAATACCACACACCCACCTCCCCTTTTTCCCGACCCTCACCTCTCACCAGAAAAGGAACTGGGAATAACAATAACAATCTCCACTGCCTGCTCTGGTCGTCCGCCGAGGCAAGCGGCCCGACACACTACAGCTTTTAATGGCTGAAGATTGATATCGGTGGCAGGGGACGTTTCTTGGGATGTTAGTCACCATTCTCTGAGGAGATTTGGAACTGGTCTTAAACGACTCTGGAAACACAATAAAATATGACTCAGAGAGAGAGACAGAGCCCAGGGAGTTTCACACCACTAATTGGCAGTTGGACCTAACTTGATTGTGTTTTCTCTAATGGAGCTAATGTGATTTGGATCAAAGTCCATGCTGGCGATATTTAAATTGGCCATACCKGTTAGTGTGGTACTTGTTTTCCTGACTCATCACTTTCTGATTTACAAACACATTTGTAAGGTCTGCCATGTGCTTAAATCAGTGGCGTGGAACATGAAAAAGCAAATTAACTTCAAATCTATTCCTATTAAAGCAAGCAAGAAGTTTGCTGACAATCTGAGACAAAAGCCTGGACAGCTTGCTGTTTTTTAAAACTACGACAAGCAGGGATTTTGTAGTTTATTTGTGTAGGCCTTCGCCAAATTCGACTTAGAATCACCAGATGTTTTAGAATAGCATTGACATACAGTACATGCAGAAGAACGTAGCCCTGTCTCCCTCTACAATCWGAACAATGGGCCTCATGCAAGAACCATTTGTACGCAGAGATTTGTTCTTAAGTTGTGCGTACGAGTGATGTAGGAGAATTTGTGGCATTCCCCAATTTTCTTGTATTGTAAGATTTTTTTCAGATACGAACAAAATTCACGAGTGGTCCAGACCTGTCGTATATTTTGCGAGCAGTCAGTCTGCTGTTATCCAGACGGGTTTTCTTCATTAATAACTCTATATTTCATTAGTTTGAAGATATTTTGAGTTGAAAATAAATCACACTCCATAATTATGTTGACAATAGGTTATTCTGGTTGAATTGGAATTAGATTTTGAATGTAACTAATGACATAAATTGATTAGATTAAATTAAATTGGATATTATTGGTGTTTTATAAAACTATAATATTAATATGAAGCTCTCAACTTAAATTATGCATTAATTGAAGTTTGGAGACGTTTTAAAATGTTTTCTTTCAGAACCGCATCTGACACTTGCGACGGTCGGGAGGGGGGAGATGGCCAGGCGGGTGGTGGGGGTGGGGGTAGCGGTATGCGGCTGCTCTTCTTCAGAATAAATGAAAACTATTTAACACAGTTGTTTACACTTAAATAAAAAAATTTGACCAAAGAAAAACTGGAGCAGGACTAGAGAGAGATGAATATGATTTAGATTTTTATTCATGTGACTGTACGACCCACAGGAGACACAACATTAACAGCAGTCATCATTATATTCCCCGGCTTTAGCAGGTCTGACGCTGCTAAAAATACTTTTTTTCTGGATCTCCGAGAGCAGGACTTCAATCTCCGAACTCGTAAAGTTCTTCTTTTTACTTTGCGATGTCACTTATGAATGGACACTTCCTGGTATGTGTGGCAGGAAACGTATATCCTTTTATGGTGTTTTTGGGGTGGTAGGTTATGTAAATCACCTCTCCTCGTGCACGAGCACCTGATACGCATTCATCAGTTTAYGCTGCTCATTTACACACTTTTTTCCTGAAGATAGAAGAGTTTGTTGAATCTGACGTGGCATGTTCGTATGAACCCTTCGTACGAACAAAAGTAAGAAATTTAGGATAAGGATACGAACATGTTCTTGCATGAGGACCATTGTTCTTTGTACTTCAAAAGAGAACAATATCTCTGAGACTTTAATTTATTATCTAAAAGAAAAAGGAGGACAAAGTAAAACATCAAAGGTAAGACCTGCATTTGGTTATTTACCATCTGAGTGGCTGATGTGACCCAACCATGTCATGTCTCAACATAACACACAGCTGGGAATTGAAGAGTTGTAAGTATCTGGTGGAGGTTTYGTGTCATGGTCCTAAATTGGTATGAGAATTTTTCTGTAGAACCCAGCGCTCAAGTCAGATATAGTTTATTGGAACTGTTCCAGCCTCAGAAGGAGCTGGAGGCCGAAACAGCACCAACCACCTGCTTCAGCTACTGCAAACAGAGCTTGTGGCTTTTCTTATTGTTGCGTAGTGCTGTTAACATTGCAGCTGACTTCCCAGTCTCTCTCCAGGGCGTCGATTACTTAATGGCTACCATTTGTAGTTGATTAGCACCAGTTCTTTAGTGATGCCGCTCTCATGCCAACCACTCTGAAGAAAAGATGCATAAAATAAAAAAGCTGGAAATAAATAATGCATTTCTCAGTTCACTTTGATTTTAATTTGTTGCCACTGTTGTTCGGTGGCTGCACACTGTGCTTTGAGACAGTGACTTTGTGATAAACAAAAAAATAAAATAAAATAAAATAAAACACATTATTGCAGAACTAGTTAGACTTTACACTGGAACTTCATGAAGATGTAAACACGCTGCGATCCCCTCTCTGAGTTGTTGTGCCTTAGTGTTAACTCTCCTCACTCGTACAGAGGTGCATTGTGCTCCTGGGCACAGCTGCTAGCCCATAATTCTTCATTCTATGTCCCATTGTTCCTACCTGTCAGCGCAGTTGCGTCGCAGAAGAAACAAAGTGGCTGCYATTTTGCCAGCAGGCTATGTGTTGGTGGGGAGGGGTGGGGACATTTGAAAAACGTTATTTCTTACCATAGCCCAAGATTTTATTAGCTTATCAGCTGCTTTAAGTAATAATCTATCGCTACTACTCTTCATTGTTGGCTCCTTTTTTTTTTTTTGCACTGATTTATATATGCCCTAAAGCACAAAACTATTTCTATTGTTATAAAATAAGTTGATGTTCTTCATGAGAATGATATCAYTCAAATGACATGTTGAACCCAGCTGTTACAGACTCACAATGTAAACACTGTCCACCTCCCTTATTTCCCCTCAGTATCACTTCTCCCATAGGTTATTTAAAGTTAATAACCTGCCTCCGCATCGCGATTCCTGRCTTTGTGATGCAAACATATTCTTAATTGCCATCCCGTAAGAGCTGAATAGCYGGAGCAGATTCTCATTACCCCGGTTTGAATTGGCCGGGGCCTCTCACGTGCCTCTTATCATGTAGCAATAATGGAAGAGTGGCAGAATGCGGCTGTGCGTGTAGAGAGATGGGTTAACCCTGTGTGCAAACAGTCAAAGCCAAGTGTGATGGTCCGTTTGAGTGACAGGTGTCTGCTGAGAAAGCAGTGCTGCCCACTCAAGTTAAATAACACTCACTGTTCTGGTCTGATTGTGTTTTTTTTTCTTCTTCTTCTTCTTTCTCCGTTTGCAGTTCCAGAATAACAACAACTACATGAACATGGCTGAGGCAAATGGTGCTCTGCTTGCTGCTGGCGATGTGAGTACACATGGCTTTTTTTTCCCATCATCAGCTGATCTTTTGAGTGCAGTAAATGCTGAAATGTAAATACAACATACTGCAGTTTGTGTCCTTTTTTCCTCTCTTACTTCATACGGCCTAAGTAAAGTGTTTATTACATGCAATAAACGCAATGAATACATGCAAATAAGTTCTCAAGATAATGAGTTACTATTGCACAGCGATGTGTAATATATTTCAAAACCCATTTTCCGTTGTTCTTAAACCTATAYAAGAGTTCAATGAAATGAAGAGATGAGCTAGGCTCATCTTATATTGTCAAGTAGTAGGTTCAGCAGGCTGAGTTTAATGTGATCTGACTGCCTTGACTGCACTCTGATAGATAAGACATTATCTCAGAAAGCTAGGGATGAAAACACTTGTTTTCTTTCTTTGAAGAAACAAAGACATAATAAAAGAGCAAAAAAAAAAAGATGCATCACAGCTGCTTTCCTCTTAAAAAGTGAATGGTCCCAAGCAGATTTTGTTGTGGAACTGCAGGGATAACCCTGTGATTTGCTTGCGCATTGCAAGAAAAAGTGGGATAGTTGTTTCTCTGCAACAGTCTAAGTGAGGTATAGTTGTCATAACACTGAGYTAAATATACCCTTTTTATTCCCCCTCCACCCACTCTGCTGCCCTGTCATTAGAGACAAGTACACCAAAAATACCCAGCGTCCTCTGTGGTTCAAACAGTCCAATCTCATTCAGAGACTGATCTGGCTTCAAAACCCACAGCAAAAGCCTCATTCAACAGCTCCAAAGTATTGAGATAGATGTCATTGTTAACCTCTGCCTTTTTTTTTTTTTTTATCGTGTCAGCTGGGCAGCAGGGATGCAACTGTGTTCAGGCAGCTTCACACAAGTGCGTGGAGCGTGTGACCTTGTGTTCATAACGTGGCTGCCTCACAAAACCACAGAGTATTACAGAAGTCGTCTAATTTTCCCCCACATTTACGCTGACTGGGCATATCCTCTGTATCCATGGGCTGCAGAGGCCCAGTGCAGCAGGGACTGCATTGACACAGTCTGCTTGGAGAGCGTTCAGCCCCCAGCTGTGAGGGCCCACTGTGGCAGTAAGGGGAAAGGGAAGGGGAGATGGAGGTGGGGTACTCTTAATAAAAACAGTCCAGCTCATTTGCATTTAATCAAAAGGAACAACTGTTTCCAGTGTTAGGGCACAGATGGCATTGTGGAGTTCTTTCTTTTTTTTTACGGGTGAAAAATAAGTCATAAAACATCTCTCTTTTTTTCAAGCAGTGGCGTGTCCAGAGTATTGCTTGCTTCAAACAGCTAAAGTTAGAATAAAGTTGCTTCCTCTTAGAATTGTGAGGTTTCACAATGTCCTAATTTGTTCAAAATGGCTGGTTTATATGGAGAATACAAGAAAAAGAAGGCTCTTTTTATTAGTTCTTTATGAAGAAGTGCCAGCCTTTAACAGCAAACTTCAATTCATTCCAGCACATTTGGTTTGTTGTTCTGTCAAATGAAATCATGCATATTGTATGAAAAGTAATCAGCAGGGAATGGCTGTTCCCTTTTACTTTGTATACAGACAAGTCACTTTTCCACAAATGGCATCAAGTTAAACACAAATCTGTTCACAGTGTGCTGCTGTTTGCACTATGTATTGCACTATGTATTGTCAGGACAGGAGGCTTCTAGCCACATGAAAACAGCAGACCTGCATTTGCTGTTTAAATGGCCGGTGTATCGTTTACCTTGTGCACTTAGAGGATGAGATAAGATGACCTTGGTGTGCGTGGTAAAACATACATTCTGGAAGGGAAAGCTTGACCGCCTCCCTCAGGGAAAAGGGATACTGTACACACTGAGATTGTATTCCACTCAGATGTATCACTTTACCCTCCAAATCAAATTACAGTCTTGTAATGAGCTATAAATATGTAGAAATGGACTACAAATGATCCAAATTTGAAATAATGCTAATTAGGGGTGCCATGGTTGATGTTGTCATTTGAGTAGCAGCACTCTGCCTGTCTAGATATTTGAAACTGGACTTTCAATGCAGCTACTATTGATTCTGAGGTCTATTATATGTAGTAATTGCATGCTGCTGCCTTTAACAAGTCTTGGTTATTGCATCTTTGAATTGGATTACTGTGTTTATTGAAGGACTGGGACTATTGCCTGGAAAGCTATTTCTTGCTCTTTGTCCTGATATTGAAAAAAAAAGAAGCATCATGGCATCACAAGGATAAAACACTGAAGTGAAAAATTAAACTATTTAATCTATGTATGCCACAGTTTGGTGATATTGGGTTATTTTTTATATTTCTTTTCAATGTACTTTATTTTTAATTATGCACTCTCCTTTAATACCATTTAATGACTGAAAAAACTCTTAATTATACTGTATTAAGACCAGTACCGAATTAATCACATATTACCATTATATTGATATGGAGTTTAGTAAGTTTCTGTAATATTACTTTTTATTAACTTTTCAAAGTTATCTTGATTTTGATGTGCAAATGGAGAATTAGAACTTAATTTGTTGTGCTTACAGTTATACTCGGTTATGCACCTTTGGAAATCAACAGTCTGATAAAACACAAGAGTATCAGTGCTGTCTGAAACAGTAGGCCTACTGGAATTTTTAGCAGCTATGCACAGCAATAGAAAACCTTGAACAAGTAAATAGTATTAATTATTTTCAAATCTATATATTTAAAGTAGTGAATGGCATGGAGTATGGAGGACCAAAACTGACATAATTAAAATAAAAGCAGGAATGCAGAAATGTCCCCCCACCCCAAAAAAGCCACTTAAAATGCACCAATTAAAAACAAAACAAAACACTGTACCTCATATTTTATCATTTAATTGACCTGCATGTTTATTTTACCAGCATAGTTCCAACAAATTCTATATTTTAGCACATGATTAATTTTTTAAGCCACTTCAGTAGAAAGCAGAAGTGAATATTAGTTTCTTAGTTTCTCCCTCATCAGTGACTTTTTTAAGAAGAAAGGGAAAGAGAAGAAAAAAGTGAAATGTAATGGGAAAGAGTGAAAGAGAGATTAGAAGATATGTGAAATATTTATTGAGAAAACACAAGAGAACACACCCGACATCTTGGCTGCACACTTACAGAAACAGCAATAACAAAAACACAGCAACAAAAATGCATATCTATATAAT